GAACAGCAAGGGGTCCCAAATAGCCAAAGTAATCTTGAAAAAAATAAAGTAGGGGCGCTCACATTTTCCGATCTCAAAACATACTGTAAAGCTACAATAATCAAAACAGTCTGATAGACATATAGGGCAATGGAATAGAATTGAGAGTCCAAAAATAAACCTGCACATATACAGTCAACTGATTTTCAACAAGGGTACTAAGTCCATCCAACGGGGAAAGAATAGTGTCTCTGATAGATGGTGCTGGGAAAAATGAAGTTCCACAAGCAAATGAACGAACCTGGACCCATACCTCACATCACGTATGAAAACTAACTCAAAATGGATCAAAGACTGAAATGTAAGAGCCAAAACCATAAAACTCTTTTTTTATATATTTTATTGTGTTTTTGGTATGATGGTTTATGCAGTAAATTAGGTTCCCATTTAACAATTTCTATACATATTGTTTAGTGACACTGGCTACATCTTTCACAATGTGTCGGTATTCTCATTATTTCCATTCTGCTTGTTCTGTTTCCATTAATCTAGCTTCCCCCACTCTCCTCACCTTCTCATCTTTGCTTTAGGGTAAATATTGACTGTGTGGTCTCATATAGATTATTATTCAAAGAAGCACAGTACTCCTGGATGATATTGTTTATTTGATGAGCCAATCTGTTATTTGGCTGAAAGGGGACCTCTGCGAGTGGCTTCAGTTCCAAGTTTAAAGGGTATCACAGGATGACAGTCTTGGAGGCTTCTCTAGTCTCTACTGGTGCAGAAAGTCTGGTCTTTTTTAGGACTTTGAGTTTCGTTCTACATTTTTCTCCAATTCTATCTGGGACCATCTATTGTGTCCCTGGTCAGAATGGTTGGCAGTGGTAGCCAGGCACCATCTAGTTCTTCTGGTCTCCGGAAAAAGGTACTATAAAACTCTTAGAAGAAAACATAGGGGGAATGCTTCAGGACCTAATTTTTAACAATGGATTCGCAGACGTGACACCGAAGCACGAGTAACGAGACAAAACAGAGAAATGGGACCTCATCAAAATAAAAAACTTTGTTCATCAAAGGACTTCATCAAGAAAGTGAAAAGACAGTCTACAAATTGGGAGAAAATGATTGGAAGCCAGATATTGGATAAGGATTTAATATCCAGAATATATAAAAACTCTTACAATTTAATAGCAAAAAGACAAACAACCCAATCCAAAAAATGGTCAAAGGACTTGAACAGACATTTCACCAAAGAAGAAATTCAAATGGCCAACAAGCACATGAAAGATGCTCCACATCATTAGTCATTAGGGAAATGTACATCAAAACCACCGTGAGATACCACTTCACACCTACTAAAAAGAAATACCAGTCGCCATCAAGTTGATTCCAACTTACGGCAACTCCACGTATGTCAGAGTAGAACTATATGTCACAGAGTTTTCAACGGCTCATTGTTCAGAAGTAGACTGACAGGCCTTTCTTCTGAGGCGTCTCTGGTTGGCCACAAACCATCTATCTTTTGGTTAGCAGCCGAAAGAAAGAAAGGGAGGTTCTGTTTGCAACACTCAGGGATCCGTCACACCTAGTGTTGTCGTTTTGGTTAATTGCCACTGAGTCAATTCCAATTCACGGCGACTCCATGTGTGCAGAATAGGACTGCGCTGCAGGGTTTTCAAGGCTGTGACTTTTCAGAAGCAGATCGCCAGACCTATCTTCCCAGGGGCCTCTGGGCAGGTTTGAACTACCAACCTTTTGGCTAGTGGCTGAGCACTTACCCAGATGTGTTCACACCTACTAGGATGGTTATAACCAAAGAGATGGACAAAAACAAGTTATCAGTGCGAATGTGGAGCAATTGGAGCCCTCAGACACTGCTGGAATGTAAAATGGGACAGCCACTGTGGACGAGAGTTTGGCAGTTCCTTAATAAGTTAAACATAGAATTATTCATGGCCCAGCAAGCTCACTCCTAGGTATATACCCGAGATAACTGAAAACATATTTGCACACAACTTATATAGGAATGTTTATAGCAGCATTATTCATAATAACACAAAAGTGGGAACAACCAAATGTCCATCAGCTGGTCAGTGGATAAACACACTGTGGTCTAGCCGTACAATGGAATATTACTCAGCCACAGAGAGGAATGAAGTTCTGGTTCAGCGTGGACAGATCCTGGAAACATCATGCTCAGTGAAAAGAAGCCAGTCACAAAAGGTCACATGTCGTGCGATTCCATTTCTATGAAATGTCCAGAATAGGCAAACCGTAGAGACAGAAGGTGGATGGGTGGCTACCAAGAGCTGGGAGTAGGGGAATGGGGAGTGATTGCTAACGGGTATGAGGTTTCTTTTGGGGTGATGAAAATGTTCTGGTGTTAGATAATGTTGATGGCTGCACAGCCTTGTGAACCTACTAAATGGTACTGCATTGTACACTTTAACAGGGTGACTTTTAAGGTACGTGGATTACTCAATGAAACAAAATCAATCAATGCGATCCGCCATATTCACAGCCCATGATGAAAACCACATGGTGCTCTCAGCTGGGGCGAGACAGGTCATAGCTGCACTGCTTCAGGCTGCAGCCTCATCAGGCCAGTGCCCGCTTTGGACAGGAGGCTCCTGCTCCGGTCTGGGGGACGGAGTTACTGCAAGGGGACTCAGAGAACAGTCTACAAACCTTCACAAGCTGTCCTATCACGCTGCCTAGTTCTAACTACCCCTTACAGGTTCCCATTTTTAAACACGTAAATGAAGAATGACGCTGAAACAGTAAAATCCCACCGTTTTCTAGCACGTCTGGGTTATCGAAGACCTCACAGAAGACGGAAAGTGGAACAAAACAGAAGTGAACGTTTATAAGTAAAGCATCCTTTTAAACAAACAAGAAAGGGCAGGCAGTAGAATTAACCGGTGTGTATGAAGCCCAGTACATACAATACAATAACTTTACTCTTTGCAAACCAGTTATTTGGCACCCTTTTCTCATGCTCCCTCTGATGGCTCGAGGGGAGGGTCCCTCCTTGACTCGTCCAGCTTCTGGGGACTCCTGGTGTCCGCTGACTCGAGGCTGCATCACTCCAATCTCCATCTCTGCCTTCACGTGACCTTTGCCTCTCCCGACTCTCGTAAGGGCACCTGTCCTTGGATTTAGGGCCGACCCTAATCCAGGATGATATCTTCTCAACCCTTAGCTTAATAACAAATTGCAAAGACCCTATTTCTAAATGTGTCACATTCTGAGGTGCCAGGTGGACATGAGTTCTTGGGGACACTATTCAATCCATTATATCAACCATACTGCCCAAGGTCACAGAGCTGGTAAGGGGCAGGGTGAGGTATGACCCAGCAGTCTGACCCCACGTGCACACTCTGATCCCTGAGCCCCCGCCACACTGCCTTACAGGGGGACCAAAACCACAAGAGCAGATGCACTGGCACGGGCCCCACGTGGGACCTCCCGCCACACAGGCTTGGCAGCAGACACTGCAGGTCATCCCAGCAGCCACGGACCCATCTCCTTCCCTGACAGCCCCGCTGTCAAGCCACATGCCCACTGTCCCAGGCTGCTCAAGCTAGGGATGACTAGGGGACCCAGACAAAGCCAAGGAGGCATGGAGGGAAATCTGCTGAGGGCTCTGGGAAAGCTTTTGTTTTCCAAATGAGACACAGCTAGTGACACCCTGTGGCAGGCAGAATTCTAAGATGCCCCCAAGATTCCCACCCCAGGTGTACACACACCTTCTCTCAGAGATTCAGTCAAACACTCATCTAGGTACTGCACCACGGGGTTTTGCAGATGTGATAAAGGTTCCAAATCAGCTGACTTTTAGTTTAAGAAAGGAGAGATTATCCTGGATGGGCTGGACCTATTCACGTGAGTCCCTAAAAGGGAGGAGGTTCTTTCTGATAAAAGAGATTCAAAATGTAACAGTGAATCGATGCAACAGAGATTCTGCATTGCTGGCTTGAAGATGGAGGGGGCCACCCAGCAAAGAATGTGGGTGGCCCCAGCTGACAGCCGGCAAGGAAACAGGGACTTCAGCACTACACCTTTGAGAAACTGAATTCTTTCAACAACCTGGAGGAGCCTGGGAGAGGATCCCAAGAGAACTCAGCCAGCTGGCACCTTGACTTCAGCCTCTGACACCAGAGCAGAAACCCCAGTCACACCATGCACAGACTTCTGACTTACAGAACTGTGCACAAATACATGAGTGTTGCCTCAAGCCACTACGTTTGTGGTAATCTGTTACACAGCAACAGAAATCTAATGCACACCACTTCCGTGTTCTTTCTGCCTCAAACGTGATGGCTGGAGCTGTGGAAGCCATCTCATGGCCGTGAGGCAATACTCATCAGAAAAAAAGTTAACATGCTCAGGCTGGCAGAGAATTGGAGATAGAGCCTGCATCCCTGTGGCAGACCATTAAAAGTGGTCCCCAAAGAGTCAGGGCTCCTCATGTCCTCCACACTCCTGTACAATACAATGTATCACCCCTCCATCAACAGTGGAGTCTTTCTCTACCATCTTGAAACTTGCTTTGAGTCATAGCCTTGCTTTGAGCAGAGAACATGGAGAAAGTAACATTTTGGGACTCCTTAGAACAGATCTTAAGAAGCCTTGTAGCATCCACCATTCCTTAAGGGGAACCCAGCTGCCATGTAAAGAAGCCCAGGATATACATACAGAGAAAGAGCTCCTGGGGCTCAGATATGATGAAAAGAGAAAGGTCACAGAGGAGACAATGTCCCAGACATATGCGTGAGACACAGCGGAATCATGAGAAGAGAGAGGCCCACCAGTCTCTAGTCCCAGCCAGCCCCATCAGGGAAGGCCATCCTAACTGGGACATCAGACACGTGGAAGGAGTCATGTGGGGCCCCCTCCCTCCAACCCCCCACCACACCAAACAGAGCAAAGATGAAGTCCAAGAATAAAGGGCCCCAGAGTCCATCATGGCAATAAGTCAGTCCCATCATCTGCCTCAAACAAGGCTCATGGTCACCAACCTGTGACGTCCAGGCGGAAGGAGACCTTCTGGCCCCCGGCCTCACAGCTGTACTCCCCGGCGTCCGCCTTGCCCGCCTGCTGCACCACCAGCC